ACCCCACATGCAACAGGCTTTCCTGCATGATTGTTCCGGTAGAGGCTGTGTATGGATTAGAGTTCTTTGTAGCAATTTTCTAACCACATATACAGGCAATATCTGCAAACTAAGTAACACTGAAGAAGCTACGGTAGGAACCAGGAAGCCCTAGCTGAAAGCTAACCAGGGTTATAAAAATGTAAAGAATGGGTGGAACGTCCACTACTGGTACCAGTAAGTGTGTGCTTATGCCTGTCACGAGAGGTGCTGCGAGGCTCTACCAAGTTATTGATGAAAATCATCCATGCCACACCCTCCACACCACCGTGTGATGGGTGAGTGGACTAACCAGTTAGCGGCACCAAGGAAAAAAAGGTGAGGTGCAGCCATGTCTTGCGGGTGTGCACGATCATGTGGTGCTGCCGACACTCCAGGCAGCAGAACGCCTTGTCGCCCCTGCACACGCACGCCCATCATAAAGGTCAGCACGCTGCCATGTTATTCCATGAGGACTCATGTAAATCCATGCGAGAAAGGAATTCAGCAAGGTTAGTAGGGGAGGAGATCGAGCGGGGTTGCTGTGGAGGGGCGCGCGCGCGGCTCACCGGTACATGAAGGCGTCCGCGCGCTCCAGGCTCCGCCGGCAGAAGGCGCAGCGCTTGAGGAAGTCGGCGCTCGTCGCGTCGGACAGCCGCGCGCCGGGCGGAGGCCGCCAGCAGTCGTCGCCGTCCATCGCGCCGTACGACCACGGCGAGCTCGCGGCGACGCGCTGCGCGTCCAGCGGCACTTCGCACACCACGCCGCGCTCAACTATCGTCGCCGTGCAACTCGGTGCGGCTGCGGGACTCGCGGCGATCACAGCGCACGGCTCGTCATGCCGGCACGCGTCGCGACGCTGATCGGTGGAGGAGAGGTGCATGGAGCTTAGCGTGCGGTGAAGCACGAGATGGGTGGCCATGGTGGGACGGCTCGCACTGATGCTGCTAGTGACGCGGTCATGTGACAGGGCCGTGTGCGCACTACGGATCGTCCGAGGGATCAGCGCGGGTATCTAGCTGAAGAGGGAAAGTGGCAAGGCTTTAGACAGGGAGACGAGAAACCCGAGGGAGGAGGTTGAGGGTCGATGCGAATGGAGATTGCTTGCGAGGGACGCCGTCAGGCTGTCGCCATCAACCGCCTCTCCGCTTGGTCGCCGCCTCACAGCGACCCACCCTTGACTCGGCATGCTGCCCGACCGCTCGCCTGCCCTCCCATCACCATCCCGTTCCCGGTGTGCCGTGGCTCCTCCTCCCAGGGAGGGCGAAACTTGGGCGAGCGTCGCTCACGGCCACATGCTGCCCGATTCCCGAATGGGGGAAGGGGGGGAGGGACCACTGTACACGTGAGTTCGTTCGTGGAAATTGGTCAGCGTGACTGCTTGCGCTGCTTGCTCGACTGGGCAGGGAAACACGGCGTCGAAAAAGTGCAGCGACTGGTCATCTTAAAAAATGCACGGCCACTGAGTACCCTCCACGTCGGCAATTCGCCTGACGACAGCCCTGAGCCTCTCGATATCTCCCCACCGATATGGTTTGACGCGAGCTCGTTGCGCTCCATGTCATCGCCACCGAAAGTGGAACTTGGACAAAAGTGATTCAGAAATATCTCGCAGCTACAAAGAAACGACAATTCCTATGCCAATCTGGCCAAAACATAAAGATGCAATAAATATCAGAACACATAACGTTGAACAATAGCGAGTCGAGTACAGTACTGCATCCCAGGCTTTCTGTACACAGAGGGGAGGGAGGGAAATCAGCCGTGAATGAACGTGATCGATAGCGAGCGTGACATTCATCATCAGTCAGTCAGCGATCCACTTGCCCAGCTCCCACTCCACGTTGCTGGATCGCCTCGTCTCGTGCCATTCACCACCATCTCAGGGCTTGGCCAGCCTCTCTCTGGCCTCTATCTCCTCGCCCCGTTCCAAGGACTTCCTTTTTTCCGTCCCTCTCGTCCGCCCGTCCGCTCGCGTCAACGCTCATCCCCGTCGCTCCTGCCATCCGCGTATTCCCAGCGCTCGCCACGATGAGCGGCAGAGGCGGCGGCGGCGGCGGGCGGCCGCAGGTGGACAAGGCGGCGGATTTCGCGAATTACTTTTGCACGTACGCGTATCTGTACCACCAGAAGGACATGCTGTCGGACCGCGTGCGGATGAACGCGTATCGCGACGCGGTCATGAAGAATAAGGCGCACTTCGTCGATAAGGTGCGGTCGAGTTCTGCGCCTCGGTGAGATCGAGTCGCAGTTCTGTGAGGGCAAGAAATTCGGCCGTCTCTCATTAGTGAATCGCGATCCAATTGAACTTCTCCAATGAGAAAGGTCCAGCACCCGTCAATATCGAGGTATCACCCACCCGTCGCTATGCGCGGCCCCGGTTCCCTGCACCCGATTACCCCGTACCCGCATTGCCTGTGGCCCGTCCGATCCAGGTTTTCGTCAATCACCAACTCCTCCCCTCCTCCCCATCCCCTCAACCCCGCAACCCCACTTCCTTCCTTGCTCCCACACCCGTCAACCCTACGTGCCTTGCCGCCCCACCACCTCCCCGTGCGCGCCATGCCATCTCGCCTGCCCACGCTCCCCGCGCAACGCAACAACCGCTATCCCCGGAACCCTCAACCCTGTCGCCTCTGCGCTCCCCGTCTCTCGCCCCATCCGACACCACCTCTCCCCATCCCCAAACCCCGCCCTCCGCCCCTGCGCAGGTGGTGCTGGACGTGGGCACGGGCAGCGGCATTCTCGCCATCTGGGCGGCGCAGGCGGGCGCGCGGCGCGTGTACGCGGTGGAGGCGACGGACATGGCGCAGCACGCCACCACGCTGGCGCGCGCCAATGGCGTGGCGGACCGCGTGACGGTGCTGCAGGAGAGCATGGAGGACGTTCAGCTGCCCGAGAAAGGTGGGGCGGGCAGGACTGTTGTGCGGGGAGACGAAGAACTGCCCGTTCTGCTCCTTTGCACACGCGCTCCCGCAACCCCCCCATTCACTCCTTCACTCACATTACCTTGCTTCCAATTCCCTGGCCGTCCGTTCACTTCCCCTCATACTTTCCCCCACTACCCCTCGCCCTCTTTCCCGCCCTTACCCGCCCCCTGGCCCCCCGCCCCTCTCCATGTTGGTCGCAGTGGACGTGATAATAAGCGAGTGGATGGGGTACTTCCTCGTGCGCGAGTCCATGCTCGACTCCGTCCTCGTCGCCCGCGACCGCTGGCTCAAACCGGGCGGCTCCCTGTGCGTGCGGGTGCTGGGGCCAAGGGGGGAAGGGTGGAGGGATGGGGACCGGGTGGGCTGAGGGGCTGGAGGCCGGATGGGGTGGGGGAGATGGGGTGGTGGGGCTTGGGTAAAGAGCGTTTTTGTGGAAAATGCTGCACTGAGACGACTCAACGCTTCTTATCCAGCTCTCTGCATGCTCTATAATTTCTCTGCCGCCTCTTACCACCATTCCTGCTCATCCCTTCCCCACCACCCCCCCCCCCCCCCGCTGTGCGGTGCAGGTTCCCGAGCCATGCGCGCATGTGGGTGGCGCCGGTGCACTCGAGCCTGTGGGAGGGGCGCATGGGCGAGTTCCGCAGCAGCATGGGCGACTGGCGCAGCTTCGTGCGCGGCACCAGGGAGGACTATGGCGTTGACATGGCCGTGCTGGACCAGACCTACGAGGCCGAGCAGCAGAAATACTTCCTCCAAGTATCCCCCCCTCCTCCCTCGCCCTGTTCCCTTTCCCCCACTCCCCTCTCCCATTCCTTTTTCCCCAGTCCCTCTCGCCCGTTCCGTTTTCGATACTCCCTCTCTCCCACTCTCTTTGCCCACTCCCTCGCTCTCACTCCCACTCGGACACCCCTCCGGCTCCTTCTCAGCAGCTCCCTCGACCCACGCCTTATCCCATCTGTTGCCTGCCATTCCCTGCTCCACTCACGCGCTCCCTCATCCCGTGCCCCCTGCCCGCTGCCAGACAGGGTGTTGGGAGTCGCTGTACCCATCGCAGGTGTTGGGGCGGCCGGTGATGATCCGCGAGATAGACTGCGCCACCGCCACCGTGGCCGACGTGGAGGAGGTCAAGGCAACCTTCACCACGCGCACCTTCGCTGCTGATAAACCCGTCAACGCCATTGGAGGGTGGTTTGACGTGCTGTTCAAGGTAACCCTGCTTGCATTGCAGAGTCCTATCCAGGCTATCCTGTCGTTCTAGTCTCCTAAAGCATTGCATGGGATGCTCCAGTGGCCGCTTGCCACCAACATTCCCACAATCGCCCTCTCATCATCCCCCTGTGCTGCCCTCACTGTCCCCGCCCCGCGCTCCCTCCTCCACCTTCACCCCCCCACTCACAGGGGTCAGCCACGGACCCCACGGAGCACGAGGTGCAGCTGACGACAGCGCCCAGTGTGGACGAGGGCACGCACTGGGGGCAGCAGGTCTTCCTGCTCGCACACCCACTGCACGTGCGCGAGGGAGACGAGGTGTCGGGTGCCATGCACATCCGGCGGTCGCAGAAGAACCACCGCCTCATGGACGTGGACCTGCAGCTGCAATGCCAACACACCGATGGCTCGCGCTCCCCCACCACCACCGCCGCTTACTTTATCGAGTAGCTTTCTGCTCCTGCCAAACTCGCGCATGCTCCTTCAGTTTCCTAATTTTTGGTAGAATGATTCCTGTAATTCTTTTTATGGGTCCTTCACTGCACAGCAGCTCCAAGTGTACCTGCAGGAGCCTGAAGCTGCGTGCAGCCAGCGGCCAGTGCTGCTGCTGTGTGGTTGCACCCATTCTACTGGAGAATGCTTTGTATTCAGTAGTTAGCTGTCAGTTCACATGGCTCTTTAAAAGAGTGCTTTATGGCATCATGCTGGCGTATTTTTATTACTAGCATCATTACTTGTAAGCAAAAGTCCATACAGCGTTGTGTTCTAAAGAGCTGCCCTTGCAGAGGCGTACATGTGTGCATGTGGCCATGCCCACGGCATCGCACCTCCCTCCAGGCATCACCGCATCTTGCTGCAGCGGTGCTGCTGGTTCTTCCTCTTCTTGTACTCGCCTCGCTTGCGCGCCAGGCTCGCCCGGCGCCGAGCGTGCCTCTCGGGGTCCACCAGCACGCTCACGCGCGCCGCCTCCCGCCTGGCTGCCGCGCGCCTCCTGGCGGTGTCGCGCGCGGCGGAGAAGGCGGCGATGAAGGCGGCGGGGCCCACCTCGTGGCGCACGTGCTCCACCACCTCGCCCACCACCCCCTGCACCTCCGCTGCTTGATGTGCACGGGGCGAGGCGAGGGGGCAGAGAGAGACGGGAGGGAGATGAGGGGGGGGGGGGGGGGGTGAGTTGGAGGAGGCTTACAGGGGAGACGGGAGGAACGGATGAGAAAGTGAGTAAAGAGGAGGCGTGGGGAGGTTGGGTGTGCGAAGCAGTGCTACAAATGGCACGCAGGGCGAACACCAGTGCCGGGACTGCCAAGCCAACCTGTGCTTCTCACAGCACACGCATTGCTATGGGGAGAGAAAACGGCACCTTGACACGAAACGAGCACCAAGGGGATTGCAAAAGGTACAGACGGGTGCAGGGGTGTGGAGAGGGGCTCACGTGGGACAACAGCGCCTGCAGAGCCCTGTGAGAGGCGGAAGAGTGGCAGCATGACGTCCGGCAGGTATGGCCGCACCCCCTCCCCTCCCAGTGCTGTCGCCAGCGCTGCCACACACCGCAGCGCTGCTGCCGTCTGGTGGGCGCCATGCATGGGGGCGAGGGTAGGGGGGGGATGTGTGGGGAGAGGGAGTGAAAGGGGGAAGGGAGAGGGATGAGGGGGGAGTGAGGGGAGGGTGGAAGCAGAAATCATTGAAGCACAGAGAGATGGTATGTGGAGCGTGTGAGTAGCACAGCACACGAAGGGCCGCACCTGAATGGGCTTCACTCTGTACGCCACACGTGCCACCGCCTTCATCACCGCCCCCAGCGCTATGTGCCGTGTCGCCTCCTCCCCTGCCCCCTCCCTTAACGCCACATAGCCCCCATCCAGTTGCCCCTCCCCATCCTCCTGCTCCCCTGCACCGCCCTCCTCCCCATCGCTCTGCTGCCTCTCCTCTGCCTCCTCCCCATCCCCTGCCTCCCCACTGCCCTCTGCATCGCCCTCACTGCCCTCCCCTACTGGTTCACCCAACATGACGGCCCCACCCCCTGCACCTGTCGCTTCCATATCAGCATCCGCATCAGCATCAGCACCAGGATCGGCATTAGCAACAGCAGCATCAGCAGCAGCACCAGCATCGCCCACACCACTACCCTCCCCAAAGTCTACAAGGTATGATTCCTCATCGCCCTTCTCTTCTTCCTCTTCTTCCTCTGCTTTCTCCTCCTCCTCAACCCCCCCTTCCACCCCTCCCTCTGCTTCTCCCAACACCTCCTCCTCTTCCTCCTCCTCGTCCTCCTCCTCGCCACCACTGCCATCCCCAGTCTTCTCTCCCTCTCTCCTCCTCACCCGCAGCAGTTGCCACCCCAGTTTCAGCCGCCCCCTGCCCTCCCTGCCTATGGCACACCCATCCAGCTCCACCACCAACCCCGATCCCCCCTCCCTTCCCTTCCTCATCCCACCACCAGCAGTGCCATTAACAGCACGGCAAGGCAGGAGGGGCAGGAGGGGAGCGAGGGCGACAAGGTTTTTGACAGTGTGCTGTGCCAGGCGCTCGTCACTGGCGTTGCTCTCCAGCACACGGCACAGCGCCCCTGCCACCACCACCAAGTACGATGGCTGCAGCAGCACCTGCCACACCGCCACCCCTGCCCCCCTCCCCTCACCCTCCTCTTGCTCCTCGTCCTCCCCCTCATCCTGCTCGCCCTTTTCCACCAGCTCCCTCACCACAGCCTTCAGACCCTCCTCCTCCGCCCCACACACGCCCTTGCTCCCACCACCACCAGCGGCTGCAGCAGCGGCAGTGGTGGCATGGGAGAGGTAGGCCCCCAGGAGGCGGCAGGCAGCAGCGCGCACCCAGAGGTGGCGATGCAGCAGCAGCGCCGGCAGTTGCCGCCACAGCGCACGCATGCTGCTGCTGTGCGCCTGCCCACCCTCCCGCTGCAGCACCTTCTCAGCCAGCACCACACACGCGTACACACCCTTCCACCCCTCCACTCCCCCTCCCTCACCCTCCTCCCCTCCCTGCGCCCGCTGCACAATCCGCGCAGCAGCACCCATCCATGCCGCCACCATGCCCCCCTGCTCGCCGCCCACCCCCACCGCCTCCACCGCCACCCCTAACACCAGCGCTGCTGCCTGCTGCAGCTGGGGGGACGGATCCACCAACCATGCAGACGCGAAGCGCAGCAGGCGCGCGCACGTGGGCGGCTTGACTCGCACAAACAGCGCTTTGAGCACCGCTGCTACCAGCTGCCGCACCCTTGCTGACTCATCGCTGACTAGGCGAGTGACGAGCGGCAGGAAGAAGGTATCGGCGTGGGCCTCCACGAGCACGGAGGGGAATCCCTCGATGATGGCTCGCAGCATGCCCAGCACGGCCTCTCGCCCGCTCTGGTGCTCGTACTTCAAATTCACTATCAGGAAGCTCAGATGTGCTTCCAGGCGTGCGGGACCCAGCGGGTAGTCAAGCAGGAAGGCGAGAAGCAGCGCTGCGCTGAGCTGGCGCACGGAGGGCGTGTGGGAGCGCAGCAGCAGCAGCTGCACACGCCCCATGGCGTCATACACTTCAGGTACCACCACTCGCCGCCGCAGCAGTGCTCGCAGCACGGCAAAGGCGGTGGTGCGAGTGGAGGGCAGCTCGAGGTCTGTGAAGACTGCACTGCCCAGCAGCGCTCGCACCTGCTCCTCGCCCACCTTCACCCTTGGGCATCTGTCTAGCAGCACGGCTAGCAGCTTCAGACACGAGTGCACCATGCCGCCCGCCACGGCCGCCGCCCGCCCCGCCTGCTGCACCACCTTGAACGCTGACGTGGCGACGCGGGGGGCAACGGTGGCGACGGAGGGGAGGCGGCGGTGGAGGAGGAAGGCGAGGGCGCGGAAAGAGGCTGCTAGCACGGCGTCGTGGGGCGAGGAGAGGGCGAGGGAGAGCGGGTGCACCAGGGCATTGAGGCGCGGTGTGAGGGCGGGGTCAGATGCGGGCAGGCGGTCGTGCGAGGCGAGGGAGAGCAGCAGCTGCAGGCCCAGCAGCGCCACCACATGCCCGTTCGGCATCCCCTCAAACCCCAACCCCTTCTGCTTCTTCCGTCTCCTCCGCCCTCCTACCTTGCCCTCCACTTCCTCCCCTTCCATCCCACACTCCTCACCCAGTTCCTCCTCCATCCCTCCTTCCTCCTCCTTCCCTTCCCCCCCACCCTTCCCCTCCCGAGCCTCCGCACGCAGTCGCTTCCGCTCACCCGCTGCGGCCGCATGCGCCTGCTCCACGCGCACGCCCTCCCACAGCACCGCGTGCACCAGCACCAGCAGGTCGCCAGCTGTCGCGTGCTGATTGGCCAGCAGCCCAATGGCCATATGTCTGACCATCTCCTGCACGTGCCGCTTCACCCTCGGATCCAGCGATGCAGGCAGGGCGGCACGGATGGGGGCGAGCAGCAGGGCCGTGCTGCGCCGCACGTTCACCAGCGAGGCAGCGATGCGCACCGTCTCCAGCGACCGGCTCTGGCGCTTCTCCCGCACGCCCGCTGCCACCGCGTCCACCTCCCTCTCCTCCGCCACCTGCCCCAGCAGCCCCTCCACCGCCACTGCTAGGCACTCGCCCAGGCAGTAGTCCAGGGCACCTGGGGGCATGGTGCGTCCGTGGGTGGTGGCGGCGTGCAGCAGCAGTGCGTGCAGCGTGAAGCCGAGCACGTGGCGCTCGAACCCGCGTGTGAGAGCGCTGCGCAGCACGCCGATCACGTACCCCAGGTAGGCCGGACCCAGCGCCCCCGCCACCTGGCACAGCGCCGCCCGGGCGGCGTCTCTCGTCCCTTGCGAGCGCGACTTGAGGGGGTTGACGACGGTCTGCAGGAGCACGGGGAGGTGCGAGCGGATGGCATCGGGCGGCAGCAGCAGCAGCGTGCGCGTCACGGCGAGCGCCACATGCGAGTTCACCTCCTCGCGGCCCGCCTCGCCTGCCACGAGGTGCTTGGACAGCTGAGGGATGATGTCCTTCAGCAACACCTGCTGTATGCGCAGCGACACTGCCGTTCCCCCCTCCTCCTTCCCTGCCTCCGCTGCTGCCACTTGCCTGATCTCCTCCTTTCCTCCCTTGCTCTCCTTATCAGTAATCTCCTTCCCCTCGTCCCCATCCTTCCCACCCGCTTCTCCACCCTCCTTCCCATCCACACCCTCCTTCTCACCCTTCTCTTCCTCCTTGTCACCCTTCTCCTCCCCTCCCCCCACCCCCACCACGTGCTTCACCTGCTCCAGCACGCCACAGATGGCCCTCAGAATCGCCCGCTGCCCCGCCGCACTCACCTCCTCGCCACCCCTCCCCCCGCCCCTGCCCTTGCTCTCCTCCCACCACTGCTCGCCCTTCTCCTTGCGCCGTGGCAGCAGAGCGAGCAGGCGGGAGAGCAGGGAGTGGAAGGCGGGCCAGGGCAGGCGGGCGGCCAGGGCGGAGAGGGCGGCCATGGTGGCGTCCATCACGCCGCTCTCACTGTCTGGCCGCCCCTCCACCAGCTGCCGTAGCAGCGCTGGCACCACCGCCTCCAGCAGCACCTCCTGGTGTGGGGGAGGGGAGGGGGAGAGGGATACGTGCAGGGCAGTGCGGGAGAGGAGAGGTGGTGAGAGGGAGAGCTCGCTGCGGGCTGGGGGCAGTGGGGTGTTGGTGCGACGCAGGATGCTTGAGTGCAATGGATAAGTGGTGTGGGCCACCGTGAAGAAGAATGCGTTGGAATGTGAGATGCGTGCAAGGCACAGCCTGGCGTTTAAACCACAGTTGGTGTGAATGAGCACACCAGCGATATGTGAGTGGGCGTACCGGTGAGAAGTGGGCACACCAGAGGTGCATGGCCTTACAGGTGAGAAGTGCGCGGTGGGGCAGAGGGCGGCGAACTTGGTGAGCGCTCGCACGCGGCGGTGCGTCTGCAGATGCACGAGATTGTGGAAGAAATCCGCCTCCACGTCATCCTCCCTCACCAAACACCTCAGCTCCGCCACTGGTGACGTGGCACCCATGTGCAGCGCCACGTCACGCAGCAACAGCACCCACTCCTATATGGTGGGACATGGAAGCGAGGTTGATGCGAGCAGGAGATTGGTGCAGGGTCACGGTGTAGGGAGAAAGGGAGTGAGGGAGGTAAAACGAGGGCTTTCGGGCCAGTTCCAGTGCAGCAGCTAAATGAGATGAATGGGTAAGGTGAGAAGAAGCAGCAGGGACAGCAACAGGGGGAAAAGACGAGCGCTCTAAAGCGGGTCCAAGCAGAGGTTGGGGCGCGCTGCGCGAGGGGAGGGGGCATACCCTGCGCACGACGACGATGGGCGAGTGGAGGCCCTTCTTGATGTGGCGCAGCAGCACTGCGTTCACCAGCTCCCTTGCCTCCCTCCCACTCACTGCGCCCCCCTCCTCCCCCTCCCCGCCCTTCCTCGCACCAGCAGTGGCACCAGGGGCGGGAGGGAGGGCAGCGAGAGCAGCAGCGAGGCGCACGAAGGACTGCAGGAAGTGGGCAGCGGAGTGGCGCAGCGACATGTCCTCGTCCGCCATGTCCCGCACTGCGCAGCTCAGCAGCAGTAGGCACCCCTCCCGCCCCACCGCCACCACCACCTGCTGCTGCACCTGCTCTGCCGAGCGCTGCAGCTCGGTGGCTGCGGTATCAGAACCGTCTTTTGAGGAAGGGGTGGAGGTGGCGGGAGGGTCAGGCAGGTGGCAGTGCATGGAGGTGTAGGCGTGCAGGCGGCGCGTGTAGTCGTACTCGTCTATGCGCGCCGGGTCGTATGCACACAGGTCCGCCACTAGTGACGCCTGCAGGTGACGGGGGGGGGAAGGGATGGAGGTGGAGGGACGGCATTAGCGGGAGACAGTGGCAGGCGGAAGGAAGAAAAGGAGGTCTTAGGAGGTAGAGGGAGGAACATGGGGAAGCAGAGGAGGAAACACGAGGAGGGCAGGGGGCAGGGATTGGAGAGCACATGAATGGGCACATGTGTTGACGGGATAAGTGTGTACCAGGAGGCGCATGGAGTGTGAGGGGTGGGCGGCAGCGAGCGCAGAGAGCGTGTGCACGAGGGCCAGGCGAGCGGGCCTTGACTGCAGGTGGGTGACTAGCGGGGCGAAGAGCCGCACACACGTGGCAGCTGCAGTGCGGGACAGCAGCGGCGCCAGGCTCTGCAGCACTGCCAACACGGCCGCTGTGGTGCTCTCGTCCACTCGCCGCCTGCCGCCCGCTGCCTGCCTGAGGAAGGGCGTGAGCGCGGCTGCGAGCTGGCCTGCCAGGTGCGCGTGTGTCACCATGCCCGCCATGCGCCCCACCACCGCCAGCGCTGATACCTTCAGCGCCCTCCCCGCCCCCTTGCTGCTCCGTGCCATGCCGTGAGTGAGAATTGTGGGGAGAGAGGGGGGAAGGGTAAGAGTGGGAGGATTGGAACAGTGAGGAGGGGAGGAAGGGAGTGCAGAGAGGTAAGTGAGGGAGATTGGAGCGTGAGGAAGAGGGAACGCACACAAGCTGGATAGCAATGCCTTACCTATAGAGTGCACCCTGCCTTGCAATGAACTGCTGCATGTGTGGCAGGATGGCCGCCAGATGCCCCTCCACGGCCTTGCCTATCGCCACTCGCACCCCCTCCACCTCCCCTCCCATCTGCCCCCCCGCCTGCTCCCATTGCAGCACCACCTCGCCCTCCTCCTCCCCCTCCTCACCCTCCTCCCTCTCCACCACGCCCCACGCCACCACGTGAGAGAGCACCCCCATGGCTGCACCCACCACAGGCAGGCGCGCAGAGGGCGAGGAGAGCAGCGCAGAGAGCGCGGGAAGTGCGTGCGGGTGGGAGGCGAGCAGGAGCGCCAGGCGAGGCGAGCGTGAGAGGGCGAGCAACAGCGCGAGCAGCGCGGAAGGCTCGGAGGAGGCGGCGTTGTCAACCGCGAGGTGGGTGAGGGCGGGGGAGAGGGCGGCGAGCAGCAGCGGCCAGGGGCGCAGGGGGGCGGGCAGGGAGGGGCGCGTGGCGATGTCGGGGAACTTGGCGAGGATGGCTGCCAGCAGTCGCAGGGCGAGTGAGCGCAGCTCCCGAGTCCAGCTGGGCACGTGAGGGGAGATGGACTGGCTGGCGTTGGTATTGGCCTCCGTATCATCATCGTCGTCTTCGCTGTCTTCCTCAGGTGCATCAACCCCCGCCTCCTTGTGCCCATCCTCATCAGCATCGCCAGGGCCCTCAGCAGCAGCATCGGCACCCTCTTCTTTGCCTTTCATAACCTCGTCTTTCTGCCCTTCCTCCCCTTCAAGCTCCTCTGCCTCCTCTGCCTCCTCCTCCTCCTCAACCTCTACTTCCTCCTTTCCCTCCCCTTCCTCTTCTATTATCTCCTTCTCTTCCACTGCCTCACCCATTTTCTCATCCAGCCTCTCCTCCACACGCCCCTCACCGCCAGCAGCACTGGGAGGCAGGGGCGGGTAGCACTGCACAGTGCGCACGGCGACGGCCAGCAGGGCGAGCACGTAGGGCTGCAGCTGGTGGCGGCTCATCACGCGCACCACGTCCACAGCCAGGTGCAGAAACCCACTCACTCGCTTGCGCCCCACCATCCCCACCCCCACTCCTGCTCCCGCTCCCGCTCCCGCTCCTGCTGCCCCTTCCTTCCCCTCCTCCCCCGCCGCTTCCCCCTCCCCCTCATCCCCCCCTTCCCCCAGCAGCAGCAGGAAGTCCTCCGTGGCTCCTTGCCTCAGCGCCTGCTGCCACGCCTCCTCGCCTGCCTCTCCTTGCACTACCGCGCCCGGTTGGTGGGCGGGGCGGAGGGCGGGGCGGAAGGGCAGCAGCATGAGGTGGAAGAGGGGAAGCAGCTCCGAGGGGGGCAGGCGCGCCAGGAATGTCAGCACTGTGCCTCGCTGCACTACTGCTGCCGCCTGGGAGAGGGGAGAATGAGGGGATAGGGGGATTCGGCGAGTGAAGAAGGGTGCAGAACGGACAGTGGAAGCAGCAAGAATGCCAAGCAGGAGAGAAGCGTGTGCAGACATGACCGCTACTTGCGCACTGCGCAGAATCACTCGCCTCACCTTCCCTGCGGGCTGCCCGCTCCTCTTCTTGAGCTTGGGCAGCAGCAGGCGAATGATCACCGGGATCACACTCGCCCTGTCCGCCTCCGCCACCCTCCCCTCCTCCTCCTCCTCGCCCTCCTCCCCATCCCCATCCACGGGGCTGATATCCCACGTGGTGAGGGTCTCTTTGAGCGAGCGGTAGGAGGCGAGGGCGGCGAGGCGGGCGGCGTACTTGGGCAGACAGCCATGGCGCCACGCCACCAGACAGTCCAACGCTAGCTGCTGCACCGCCGGATCTGGGTGCACCAGAAACCTGATTCATGTGAGGGTGAGAGAGGGACGAGGGGGGTGGAGGTGGTGGGACAACGAGGCGGATGCATGCTGTGAGGTTGACGGGAAGAGCGGATGGTGGCGCGTGATTAAAGGACTGACGGAGCAACAGGGGGCAGGTCATTACAGTGAACGGTACGATACGGCACGGCATGGAATGGCATGGCAGGGCAGGGCAGGGCAGGGCAGCACCTGTCGATGATGACATGCTTGAGTGGCTCTCCCTTGGGGCCACACGCTGTCAGCTCGACTCGCTTCAGCAGCTCCAGCCAATCAGAGAGCACCACGTGCCACTGCTTGCCCCTCACCATTGCTCTGTTCACCACCACCCCCTCCTCCGCCTCCTCGCCCTCCTCCCCGCCTGCCCTTTCCGCGCCCCCTTGTATCATCTCCACGTGCCCTGTATGCGCTGTCGGCCTGAGGGGAGCGCCGGGGGTGTGGGTAGAGGAAGGGGAGATGAGTTGAGGGGGCACTGGGCCGGTGCCATTGTGAGTGCGCGGAGAGAGGGGGATGCGAGGAGCATAATGCACGAAAGGGGCGCACAGGGGAGGCGATGAAAGGGAGGAACAACAAGAAATCACATACTTTGCTGCAAACAAGGAGTGGTGCAAGGGGTGGCGAATGGAGCAAGGCAGGGAAGAAAGAGCGAGGCGTACAGGCAGTCATCAGAGTCGCCCACGAATGCCAGGAAGAGCGCCGCCAGCTGCTGCCCCGCCGTGCCACGCCTCTGCTGCCCGCTCGCCAGGTTGGCAGCACAGGTGCAAGCACGCGGCGTGAGAGCAGTGCCCACAGATGGAGGCGGTGGGGGTGCGGGGGAGAGGCGCGTGGCGGCCACTGCTGGCGCCTGCCTGAGGGCGCGCAGCAGCGACGACAGCACTGCTGACGGAGGAGCTCCTGATGGCACTGCCATGGCGGTGCGCAGGAAGAGATCCGTTATGCCTGGCGGTGAGAGGAGGGGGAAGGGCGTGGGGGGCGGCAGGGGAGGGAAGGGGAAGAAACGGTGCAGGCAGAGGTGCAGGGGAGCACTAGTAGTGCAGTGAGACGTACAGGAGGAGGCAGGGGGGAGAACCGAGTTAGAGCGAGACATGGCGGAATGCAGCAGAGAGAGGGAGAGGGCTATGAGCAGGCTCGAGCAGGAGAGGGGATAGTAGTACCCACCAACCATGGTTGACACACATGATGGAGCCTTTATGTTGCGAAATGCATCTCATGCCCCATGCCCCATATCAACCATGCCCTGTGCCCCATGCACCATTCCCCACACCACCATGTGCTGTGCAGCCCTGTCAGGTACCCCAATAATCACCTGCACCACTGCCGCTGCCATCCTCCCCATCCTCGTGCTCTCCCCCCTCCTCCCCTCCGCCATCCCCTCCTTCCTCCCCTTGCCCTTCGCCTTGCGCCCCACCGCCTGACTCTGCAGGTGCACCAGCTGCCGCCAGCAGGAAGCTTCCTTGCAGGTGGCGCAGCTCCCGCCACACCACGAGCCAGGTGGAAGAGGGGTGGGCGGAGAGCAGCGCTGGGAGGGCGAGGGACCAGGGGAGTGCGGAAATGTGGCGAAATATGAGGCGAGGAGGGACTCAATGCATGCCGGGGCGGAAGGGGATGGTGGGGGGAGGTTGGGAGAGAGGAACGGAGCAGCATGAGATGGACGAAGAAGACAAGGCAGAGAATGGGAGGTCAGAAGGCGACGGGCGGGAAGACAAGTGAAGGAAGTGTGGAGACTAGGAGTGTTGTGATGAAAGGGAAGTGACAAACGAGGGACTCACCTGCAAGGCAGCCAATGGCAGGCTGCCACATCATTGCAAACTTGGAGTGCAGTAGCCCCAGCACACAGCGACTGACAGCTGGCAGCAGCTGGTTGGGCAGCCGTGCTGATGTGGCATGAGCAGCAAGGGCAGCCAATGCTGTGGCAGCGTGCCGGCCCATCTGCAGGTCGTAGGGTGCTGACTCCAGTTCTTCCACCTGGTGAAACACCTGAGAACAACAGAGGCATGGAGGGGTGGGGGGGGCGAAGGATGCATGTGAGCAGTGGGGAATGACCCAAACCCACATAGACCCAGCTGCACATGTGATCCCAACCGCACAGCACATGGCATGGCATGGCATGGCATGGCAAGGCATGGCATGGCATGGCAAGGCATGGCAAGGCATGGCACCCACCAGACACGGCTCAGCGTCCTCTCCTGCGACCACCACCGCCCCCCCTGCTGCTTGTTCCGCCCTCCTCTTCCCTTTGCTTCTCCCCCTCGCCTCTCCCCCCTCTCCCCCCACCCGCACAAGCAGGGGGGCGAAATGACAGATAATGCGCAACGATGCCACCCGCATTTCACGTGCTGGGTGGCAGAAGTTGTCCTGTAGTGCCTCAAGCATTGCAGGCATGTGGTTGGCTGACAGATCAGGTGGGAAGGCGGGCAGAGATGCTGACGTGTCACCCACTTGAGCCCTGGTGAAACCGAGGAGAAACGAGGGAGCAAGTGAGAACTGGATATCTCAAGCAGACAGTTCATGTTAAGGGGCGTGTGCGAAACGCACATGTTACGAGGCGGATGGTGACGCGGTGACACGGAGAACACGTGGGGAAGTTAAAGTGTACCAGGGGGAGATGGGATGAGTGCAGGAGTGGGGGATGAGCTGCACGAGGGGGGGGCGCACCTGGGGAAGGCTTGCAGGAAGAGAGCAACGGCGGAGAGGATAGGCAGTGAGCGGCAGTGGTGGCGGGCGGCAGAGAGGTAGAGCGGCAGGTGGCAAGGCAGGTTGGCGGCAGAGTGCGATGAGAGCAGCACTGAGTGGGTCTCCAGTGCTGCTGCCAGCACTCCCTCCCATGCTCCCCTCGCTTCCTGCTGCTGCTGCCGGCTTTGGTGTGAATCCATAAATGCAGCAACGGGCGGGCGGGGGACAGCAGCTACTGCCCTCCCAAGCGACCCTTCACTTCCCTCCTCGCCTTGCTGCCGCTTCCTCCTCTTGCGCACCCTCCCCTTCCCCGCCTGCTCTCCATCTGCTTCTTCCTGCCCCTCGCCTCCCTTTTCACTCTGTGATTCAAGGGACGTGCCTAGCTGGCGTGACACATCAGTAATCACGTGCTGACACAGAATCAGGTTGTCTTGCCACGTCATCACAGGTAATGATTTCAGACATCGCACTGCCGCCCACATAAGAGCCTGCCTCGCACTCCCCCTCACCTTCTCACCCACTCGCTCCTCCCCTCTCCCTCCTCCTTTCTCCTCTTCCTCCCCCTCTCCCCCCACCACGCCCCCCTCCACCAGCCCCCCCACCAGCTGCTGCAGCCCTCCCCTCGCCTTGCCCTCCCCCCCCTTACTGCCCTGCTGCAGTGTGGAGCCAGCAAGGCAGTCAGGAAGCTTCTCGGCAAGCTCCAAGAAGATGAGCAGAACGGGGGCGGGGTGAGATGCAGCCAGGCGGTTCAATGCGCTGCATGGGAGGGGGGGTAGAAATTGGAGGGAGGGGCGGAGAGGGGCGGGGGCGCAGAGTTAGAGTGGAACGGGCCACGGAAGTGGTTGTGCGAGGTGAGGGGGGGCGCAGTGAGGTGCAAGTCGTGGTGTGGTGGCATGGGCGATGGCTTCATCACGGCCATGCAGCAGTGTGCGAAAAGCATCAATGGCAGATGGGTGCGGGGAAGTGACTGCACGAGCGAAAAGCATCAACACAGGGATGTGCGAATCGCGCATGAGCGGGTGGGGGGTGAGGTAGAGTGTGGTTACCGCATGGTGGGGGGCAGCAGGAGGCGCAGCACGTGGGGTTGCAGCTGTGCCAGCTGGCGCAGGAACCACAGCATGCTGCCACGTCATGTCATACACCATGCGCCATGTGCCGAGCGACATGTGCCATGGGTGTGGGCATGGTGGAGAGGGCAGGAGGGGAGGGGTGGGAGCAAGGTTCAAAATTACGGTTTTCGTAAAATACGGTCCGTTTTTTACAGTCGTTTTTTACGGTGATTTTTCAAAAAAACGGCCGTTTTTTTGTTAGAGATCTCTGTTCACCAAGAAAAAAAAAGAAAAAAACAAGGTCAAAAACAATTTCGATCATGCCAACAAGCGCATACATGCAAGAAGAAGTCCATCCCCTTCATGCTGCTGCATTTCGGGTTCAATTTGGTCCCAATAAGTGGCCGTTTTGTTAGTTACAGAGGAAACACATCCTGGAACCGTTTTAAACCGTTTTTTACGGTACCGTTTTTTACGGTGAAATTTCAATAAAACGGTCGTTTTTTTTAACCCTGGGTGGGAGCGGAGGAGGAGAGGGGAGGATGAAACTCGTTGCATACAGTGAGTCAGGAAGAGCATAAAAACCTTGGATGGTTAAATGGAACAAGGAGAGGATGATTGCCAGCATATTATACCAATGGCAGCGGCACTCACAGGGTGTCATTGCAGCAGTCAAACAGCACCTCCCACCGCGGCACCGCCCGCGCTATCTCCCCCTCCCCTTCCCCCTCCACCTCGCCTTCACCTCCCCGCTCCTGCCCCTCCCCTCCCTGGCCTGCCTTCCTCCTCCGCTCCCTCCTCATCACCCCCAGCAGCAGCAGCATCACCTCCCTCACCACCTCGTGCTGCACCTTATCCCCCTCCCTTCCTGCATCCTCCCCCTCCCCTGCATCCCCCGCTGTGCCTGCTGCTCCCCCCACGCCCTCCCCCGTCTCCCCCTCCCCATTTTCCTGCTGCTGCTGAGAGCAGCGAGGAGGGGCAGGGAGGGGGGGCGAGGGGGAGGAGGAGGAACGGAGGGAGGCGAGGAGGAGGGGGTGGGAGGCGAGGGAGAGGGAGAGAGAGACGAAGGGGGAGAGGTGGGTGACCAGCATGCCTCGTCGGTGCTGCAGCGCTGCATTCAGCAAGTGAACCACGTCCGCTATCCGCCGCGCCTCCTCCCATCGCCCCCCGCCCCCACTCACACCACCCTCCTTCCCTTCGCCCCCCTCCTCGCCCTCTTCCCCATCCCCTTGCTCCTCTCCTTTGCCCTCATCCTCCCCACCCGCGCCTCCCTTGCCCCCATCCCGCCCCCCCTGCACTGCTTGTGAGGCGGTTGTGAGGAGCAGGGAGAGGAGAGGGCCGGCAGTGGCGGGAGTGAGGTGGGCGGCAAGCAGGCGTATCACACGTGTGACAACTGTCAGCGCCACGTCAGCAGCACCAGCAGCTGGAGGGAATGACAGGGGATGGGTGACACGGGGAGGGGGACACAGAAGGAGGGGGGAATGGGGAGGAAGGGGGTTTGCTGTGTGGGCAGTGCTGCGCCAGCGTGTCACCTCACCTCACCTCACCATGTGTCACCCACGTTCTTCAACCATCATGGGACCTCCCACGAGCGCCATCAGATCAAAAGGCTTCCCACACAGCCCCAGCGGCCACAGCAACACACCCATTCGCCCCACAGCACAACACACGTCCCCCCACCTCACTTGTCGCCTCACCCACCCACCCACCCACGCAATAGGCTCACCTCGCTGGCCCTGCAGCAGCAGCAGCGCGGGGGGGCGCAGAGAGGAGGGCAGCAGCAGCAGGCGCAGCAGCAGGGGCGCGGCCTTGGAGTGCAGCGAGTGCGCGGGGCCCTTGGCTGCATTGGCCAGCAGCAGCGCCACCCCGCTCTCCCTCTCCTCACACGCCACCGCCCTCGCCTCTGCCAGCACCCACCGCACGCCTGGGGGAGTTGAGGGAGGGTTTGAAGCACGGGAAAGTGGGAAGAAGATGGAGAGAATAGGGAGTGAATTCCAAGCTACACAAGAGATGGAACAGACGATGGGTGGCAACAGCAGGCATGGCATCTCTGGCACGACAACAATCCCTGTCCCATGCATCCATTTCTCTGCTACCCTCCCACTCTGCCAACCTCCTTCGCTACCTCCTTAATCTGATCTGCTCCTGTGTTAATCAGCGCATCCCTCTCACACAGACCTTCCCCACGTCTTCCAGCGACTGCCATGCCCCTCACACTCGGGCCCCCACCCCACCATGCCCATCCCCATCCCCATCCCCATCCCCATCCCCATTTCCAATCCCACTGCCCCGTTGTGCGCACCGCGGGCCATCTGTTTGGGCGGGGCGGTGCGCAGCACGAAGGCAAGGCTGTGCGCCACCAGCTCGCGCACATAGTCCGCCGGGTAGAACCGCAGTGCCTTGGTCATCCTGTTGGGGGGAGGGGTGAGGGGAGTGGGGGAGAGTGGGGAGAAAGGGGGCAGAAGAGAGGGCACGAGGGGGCAGTCATAGGGGATGAGGTGGTGAAGGGGTTGGGGAGGAGGGGGGGTGTGCAATGGTGAGAAATGAGATGGGGCGGAGCGCGAGGGCCATGCAGCGAGAGAGGAGGGGGGAGTGGGGTGGGGAGGGAAAGAATTGGCTCACTTGAGGAGGGTGACGATATCAGGTGTGAGGTAGTGGCGCAGGTGCTTCACCATCTGCGCCACACACTCCACCACCTGCACAACACCAGGGAGGGTGGGCGGGGGGGGACGGGGGGCGAGAACAGAGGGTAGGAGCAAGGAGAAGGTAGGCGGGCAGGGGGAATTCAGCAAAGCGAAGGTTGGTTGGTTAGTGAGAAGCATGAAGAGTTTGGCATACGTGGGCTGACCTGCTGTAGCACGGCGGCGTCTCTGTCCGCCCCTTGCTGCAGCAGACGCAGGCAGGCGTCCAGGCAGAGCGGCAGGAAGCTGCACGCAGGAGAGCGAGCAGCAGGAGTGATTGGAAAGCAGAAGAGGCGGAGACAAGGGTTCGAGATTGCTAGTCTAGCAGAGAGAGGCGTCATGAGTGAGGAGCACTTGCCGCTACTCACATAGCACGCCACGCCCTCACATCACATTATTCCCAGCACATCCCAACCCGTGCCACTCCCTCACACCATGCCCCTTGCAGTGCAGTGCAGGGGGGTGGCAGCACTCACGGCAGGAAGTCGTGCTGCAGGTCCCGCGCGAGCGTGCCCAGCAGGCTGTGCCCATGCACGCAGCAGGCCACGGGCAAGGGGAGGCGGGAGCAGGGAGAGCACACAGGGCAGAGGGGGAGATGGGAGAGGGGAGAGGGAAGAGGGGCAGGGGGGAGACGGAGGGGAGGAGCAATGATGAACACGCACATGTTGGTGCCACGTCGACACCACCAGAAGGGGTCTAGTGGCTGCATGTGAGGGGCGGCACGTGAGAGGCAGTGGCACGTGAGAGGCCGTGGCACGTGAGAGGCCGTGGCACGTGCATACACAAGGAGTGAAATGAAAGCAGCGAAGGGGAGGGGGCGAGGAGAAGGGGGGAGAGGAGAGGGGTGGGCACCTGAGGAGGGGTGGGAGGGAGAGGAGGGCGCGCATGGAGAGGCGTGCTCGCAGCGCGTGCACGATGCGGTGGCGGTGGAACACCAGCTGCGCCAGCGACGCCACCAGCGGCGCCACCTCGCTGTGCACCTCGTTGAAATCCACTGCTGCGCTCAGCTCCTGAGGGGGGTGAGGGGGGGAAAAGTATGGGGGGGCACGGGGGCATGGGGGGCATGAGGGGAGATGGGCGACGGGGGGAAGCATTAGAAGGTATGGGAGGGCATGGGGGTTTGTCGGGGGATATGGGAGTTCATGGGGAGTCTCGTTATGGTGGGCATGGGGGGTCATGTGAGGCATGGGGGGGAATGGGGGGGCATGGGAGGGAATGGGGGGGCACGGGAGGGAATGGGGGGGCATGGGAGGGAATGGGGGGGCATGGGAGGGAATGGGGGGGCATGGGAGGGAATGGGGGGGCATGGGAGGGAATGGGGGCGCACGGGGAGGCATGGGGAGCGGCGAGTGAGAAATGGGAGCCAGAAAGGCGAGGGTGTGAGGGGAGAAGACGTGGCGGAGAGGGGGGGAAACAAGGGGAGGGCGCGGGCGGGGACTGACCCGCCAGTGCAGCAGCGCCTGCTGGAAGAAGGAGGAGCAGCCAGCGGAGGGCTGCTGCTGCGCGGGCGCGAGCGAGCGGAAAACATCCACCTGCGCCTCCTCCACCTGCCGCGTGAAGCTCTTGAACTGCGGAACGCGCGCAAGGCACCACGCGCGCAAGGGGTTAGGGGTCAGGGGACAAGAGGAGGATGCATGCATGTCGGGGGATTTTGTAGGGATTCAGCATTAACTGAGTAAACGCGAGCAGTTCATACACGCTTCACGTACAAACCTAATAATCTCTCGCTGGATGAGCCTTATTCGCTGTTTCAGCATCATTACACCTTGCTGAACACGAGTTGTGACTTGGTCGTGCGTGATTTTATTGCGCTATAGGTATTAGCTTCGAGTAAGGCTCACTCTGAAACGTCGGGTGGACTGCGCATGTTGTTTCTTCGACTCTCGTCCTTGCTTGCGTTTCCCCTTCTCCACCCAGCCCTTATCCTTCGCCATGGCTGCTCCTTACGCACAGTCCTGACGCGGGGGAAACCGCAGGTATCCACGCGTAAACTGCGGAATTAGTAAATCAGCACGCAGTTTTTTGCGTGACCTAACTAAACAACAATCCACGCGTTAATATTTCGGCAGCAAAGACATCTCGGCTTGTGGAGGTTTTAGGGGAAAATCTTGAAGTCCAAGGCTTTGGGGTCAGCCTTGGCGGTCAATGGCGGGGAGCTGTCTATTCAGCATAGTAGCTCAAGCATGACACTGTATTGGCGGGCTCGAAGTGTACAATGTGAAATTCTTTCGATAAATATATTTAAATGACTCTGGATATTTATAAACTGATGTGGTGAGGTCGAAGTATTGGATGGATTTTGAGTTGTTCCAAACTGTACATAATCTGGAGAGAGTGTCTTACTGTCGGCTAGGGGAGAAGGTCTGAAAGAAGTCGACCCCCGCACGCTGACTGAAGCCTCGAGCAACGTAACGTGCCTTGTAGGCAGGCGGAGAACCCGGCGACCGCTTCACTCTGAAAATCCACATGCTACTGACAATGCTCGCCCCAGGTGGGGGAACCTCGTCGACGTAGGTGCCTGTGGACTTCCAGGAAGCCATCTCTGCGTCCATGGCTGTCTGCCACTGAGAGGAGTACTCACCCGAAATCGCCTCTCTGTAAGAGCGCGGGGTGGGGATGTCAAGTGCACCCGGGTCTCCTCCAGGGGCAAGCAGCATGGTCGCGAGATGGGGTGCAGCGGCCGCAAGGTACTCTAGCTCCTCCTGCTTGTCCTCAAGAACGTCACAGCCAAGGGCAGTACAACCAAGAGCAGTCTCACCCCCGACGGACGGAGGACAGGTAGGGACAGGGTCAGAAACAAGAGTCGCAAGGTAGTCTAGGCAGTACACAGCAGCAAAGTCAACGAGCTCAGCGACTAAGGCAGACGCAGCAGGAGATGAGAACAAAGGGTCAGTCACCACCGTAGCAAGAAAGCGAGTAACATTCGGACCAGACGCACGAGCAAGGTCAGACGGAGGGTCAGCAACGTCACGAAGAGAGGACGCAGGAGGTAACGGCAGGACAACACGCTATGGAACAGAGGAATGACGGAGTGTCATATTGTGAGTGCCTGAGACAGACGAAGCACACTGACGACGAACACGAGGAACACGAGCACGGGCAGTAGCTCTAGGCTCGGGCTCAAGGTCAAAGTTGGACTCAGGCTCTCGATGCTCAGGGGTGGAAGCACGAGTCTCAGGCACTCGACGCTCAGTCAGGGACTGTGTCACCGCAGTGTAAGGAGCAGGAGCAGGCAGTGGGGAGTGTGGTAGCAGCTGCGGCTGTGACTGGTCTGCAGGTGGAAACAGTAACGGAGGAGTAGTACCTGCCACAGGGAAGTCAGTAGCACCTGGCGGAAGACTGAGAAGGTGGCGAAGAGCACCAGCAGCCCCCGTACCTCCAGCACGAGCAGCACCAGCACCTCCAGCACCTCCAGCACCACTAGCTCCGGCAACTACAGCACCTTCAGCACCAGCAGTACCTCCAGCACCTCCAGTGCCAGCAGCTCCAGTAGCACCTCCAGCACCAGTAGTGCCATCTGCTCCGGCAGCTACAGCACCTCTGGTACGAGTACCTCCAGGACCCACAGCTCTAGCACCTCCAGTACCTCCAGCTCCAGCTCCAGCGCCTCCAGCACCAGCAGTACCTCCAGCACCTCCAGTGCCAGCAGCTCCAGTAGCACCTCCAGCACCTCCAGCACCAGCAGTACCACCTGCTCCGGCAGCTCCAGCACCTCTAGTACGAGCACCTCCAGGACCAGCAGTTCCAGCACCTCCAGTACCTCCAGCTCCAGTGCCTCCAGCACCAGCAACACCAGCACCTCCAGGGTCAACAGCTCCAGTAGCACCTCCAGCACGAGCAGCACCACCAGCTCCGGCAGCTCCAGTACCTCTAGTACGAGCACCTCCAAGACCAGCAGCTCCCGCAGCTCCAGCACCAGTAGCACCAGCACCTCCAGTGCCAGCAGCTCCAGTACCTCCAGCACCAGCAGCACCTCCAGGACTAGCAGCTCCAGTACCTCCAGCACCAGCAGCAGCTCCAGTACCTCCAGCAGTACCTCCAGGACTAGCAGCTCCAGTACCTCCAGTACCAGCAGCACCTCTAGTACCTCCAGCAGTACCTCCAGCACCTCCAGCACCTCTAGGAATAGTAGCTCCAGCACCAGCAGGACTGTACCCTCCACCACCAGGACTGCCTCGCCGACCGACCCACGCACGAATCGCCTGCGGCGAGAGTGTCTCAAGTAGAGCAGGATGCGGTGGCTGTCCAGCTCCAGCACCTCCAGTAGTGGTAGCTCTAGCACCTCCAGCACCTTTAGTACCTCCAGCTCTAGGACCTCCAACAGGGTCACCCACAACTCCACCGCCACTAGGACTCACAGCACCCCCAGAGTCAGCACCCCCAGTCGCAGCACCCCCAGAACCAGCACTCCCAGGCACAGCACCTCCAGAACCCTCACCCTCTGTCTCAGCACGTATAGTCTCAACTCCAGAGTCCACAGCAGCAGGCTGCGGAGGCGGCGAAGACGGTCGAGGCGGAAAACCCGGAGGGGGTCTCCAAGCGTGGAGAGCGGCGAGTGGCCGCCGTGTCGTCCGCAACTGGGTCACCCCCCTCAGTTGGGCCAGAGGAGTCAGAAGAGATTTCCACTGGCTCATCCAAGGGGGGTGGGTCGACCTGAGACACACCTGAGGGAGCAGGACCCTGTGGGGGGAGGGGATCTACCAGGGGGGGGACTGGTACCAGGAAGAGGGGTGCTAGGGGAACCGGGTGGGATGCGTGCGGGTGCACCTGGTAGAAACAGACCGACTCGTCAAAGGTGACGTCCTGGGAGGCGAAGACTCGACGCGAGGTCGGGTGGTAGAACTGCCACGGCGGGGCGTCAGTGGGGAAGCCAAGGAAGACGCAACGGAGAGTGCAAGAGGAGAGCTTGCTCGCGGTGGTATCGCGAACAAGAGAGAGCGCGCTCCAGACCCGAAACACTGACGCATCGCCAGCCTTCCCCGTCCACCGGAGTGTGGGCGAGGTCTCTGGCTCCGAGACACGGGGCCAGAGGTTGAGCTGATGCGCAGCGTATCGGACCGCAAATGGCCACAGAAAATTGGGAGCAGCCGCATGGATCATGGAGGTACGAGCAACCTCCATGATCAAGCCAATGCGACGCTCAGCAATCCCATTCTGCTGAGGAGAGGCCGGAAGCGTGAACGTCTGGCGGATGCCCTTGTCTCGACAGAACCCCGCAAAGAGGTCAGAAGAGAACTCATTGCCCCAGTCAGAGTGCAGCCGCAGGACTGGGAAGTCCTGCTGAAAACGCTCGTGCAACTGGAGACGAGTAGCATGGATCCAGGGGATCATAACACTGCTGACATCCGCTTTGCGACGCAAGGGGAAGACTGTGGTGTAGCGTGTGTAGTCGTCAACAACCAACAGGAAGTATCGCTCCTAACTCGTTCCACCGCTGGGGGCCGGGCCCCACACGTCCATGTGGAGAGTCTGCAGAGAAGCGGTGGTCGGAGGAAACTCGGAGGAGTGAGGAGCGGCGCGCTGCCGCCCCTCGACGCAAGGAAGACACGGCGGGGCAAGCGAGCGCAGCAAGGGGGGCAGGGTCCTGGGGAGGCCAGAGACAAGGAGACGGGAGTGCATGATACGTAGACGCGGCAGGGAGGGGTGACCAAGACGGTGGTGCCAGCGCTGAGTCTCGTGCGTGAGTACTCTGCACGAGCAGGACGCAGCTAACTGACCCGACACAGACGCCCGACTCGACGCGGCCACCTGACCTGACTCAGCCACATGTGCAGACGCAGTGGTCGGTGTGTACAGACTAGACCCAGGCTGTCGAGTGAACGTAGCCAGGTGACGGCCAGTCCGGGAGCACGTACAGATAGCCACACGCTGCTCTCCAGGAATAAAGGTATCAACCCAGACATCCTGAATGGCAGCGTTGCTCACCAAGTTCGTCGAGAACGTGGGGAGGTGGAGACCTGACAGAGAGCCGGAGGGGACTGCTGGACAAGGGAGGACCGTGGAGGCTCTCGCAATTACTGGGCCCTCAGAGGGGTCAGCCAGTGAGACTGGGACATGTGCTGTGAGTGGTGTGACTGTGGTGCAATCATGAAAGAAGCAACGTGACGCGCCTGAGTCAAGCGTGAAAGTGTGCAAGACCTCAGCTGAGGCAGGACCTGTGGCAGTAGACGCACTAGCACCTAGAGCGTCGGCAGACTCACGGGCACCTAGAGCTGCAGCAGACTCACCAGTACCTGGAGCGGCAGCAGACTCACTAGCACCTGGAGCGGCAGCAGAGTCACTAGTACCTAGAGCGGCAGCAGACTCCCTAGAACCGAGAGCAGTAACCTCGACACAGCCAGGGAAGCATCGCTGAGAAGCACAGTCGCGAGGTCGCTTAGGCCACATAAAACCAAAACCTCCACCACCAGGACTACCTCGCTGAAACACCCACTCACGAAGCTGCTGAGGGGTGGGGTCGTTCTGGCGCCATTCCTAAACCTGCCTCTACACCTACCTCTACCTCCTCTGATCCCTATGCTGATGGCCTTCGTGCTGCTATCGCTGAAACTGAGCGGATTGCGGCCACGGCCCAAACCACTACCGCGGCTGCTCCTGACAATGCTGCTGCCCGTGACCTCGCTCGTGTTCTTTCTGAATC